GTGAAAATCAGGTTGCTCTCATTCTCACGCTTCTGATTTGAGCATAAACCGCCCCCCTCTCCAGTCGATGGAGAAAAGAATACAAGGTTCATTCTTTTTGCAAGTGTGATCACTTGCTACATGTATAACCAACCACGGCATGTAACGTATCAAACTTCAAATTATTTCACTAATTTATCTTGCCCCCCCATCTGTGAGACCTTTCAGCAATTTTGTCTGGTTGTATAGTTATCCTGTTATATTGCTATTACAGTTTACAATCAATGAACGTACTTGGATGATGGTTGAAGACTTGAGGGATTAAATCATGATTACTAACAATCATGTTAGGATTTGAGAGGCATATACATGGTGGCGAAACAGCTCAGAGGATTGGGCATATGGTGGGAATGCAAATGTTGTAGCTCCAAGGAATCTAATCTAATTTAGGTCAATATGATCATCTTCAGGAAATGAAATGTTTGTCTCTCCCCTTTTATTATTAGGCGATGCTATTTGTCGAAGGAGATGTTGCACAAATTTCTGACTTTGTGGATGCTGCAAGCCCATCAAGCTTTTGTCTTATCGCCAAATTACCACCTTGAGGATCTTTAAACAAGCTACAACTCCAGCCACGACTGCGATAGGCAATGCTCCCCTGACAAGTTCAAATACAAATCATTAGTGCGAACTACAGCAAATAAGCTATAAACAAAGTACTGAAGGAAGATTGCATTATTTCACCAGTTGTCAGGAATCATGCATATCCAATTGCTTCATCTCTCTGAATCTGTGTTTTACGTGCTTTTCGAACATCTGTGTCGTTGTCATTTTTTGCCACAGCAGGCATGTATTCCATAAATCTCCTTTTAGGAGCACTACAAACTGCAAAGAATAATTTAACTCGGTATTTACCATAACCCTCCTTGTAATTGTCATCTAAAAAGGCCTTTAAAGGTTTGAAATTTATCACCATCAAATCTTTTTTTAATGTCAACTGCTTTTCCAGCATTTCCTTTATGATTAGATAGCAATGCTTAAATAAACCAATGAAATCAGCACTCTGTGGACAAGGCTATCTAGATTCCTGTGCATCCAGGACCAGTTTGCACTTGAAGTGAGGCAATTGTAAATGCAAAACATAACCACTAATAGCAGAAACTAGACATGATCAGTTGACTTCTTGAGGGTTGGCCACAACGTATTTCTTGCAGTGGAGAATGAAGATTCAATTTCCAGAGATGGAAGTTACTGACCAGGGAAGAAGTAATTATCAGGAAGCTTTTCAAATGGTTTTCTGTCAATGTAAATATACCTGCACCACCATGATTAATTAATTATATCAAATTCCAGTCATTCAACTTTAAAATGCTAAAACCAAAGCAAGAAACAATCAAGAAATAAAAGAAAAGGAGGGGGGAGATAATACCCGCAATCTCTACAAATGTAGGCTTGCTTGGCTGCACAACGCATGGAGAATCTTGGAGCAGCAGATGCAAGGGGCTGCTGCTGATGCTTATAAGAAGTAATCAAGAGGTGAAGTGAAGGAGAAAAGAAAGATGATTTTAGAGAAAAACGATCAGTTGATCCTCTAAGGCCACCATTGTTGCCTGTACGAGATAAAAGACAAGGTGATGGTGATGTTTTTGTGGCTGGAAGCCTCGTGGGTGCATGCAACTATGCAAGGCCATATTTTCAGGACCTTCTCCTCACCTCAGTCTGTCTGTGTAAAGAATGGAGGTAAATAGTATAGGAGTATAAGAAGTTTGGAG